ATATAAATTATAAACAATTTATTCTTTTTATATTAAAGTAAAAAATATATATATGCAAATTTTTAGAGATTTATCTTTCTGAATGTATATATCTAGTTTAAAAAAGTATTGCGTTTAGAATATGAAAAATTGGCATAGAATGCTATACATGTTTCCAAATTTTATTCATGTATATATAGCATACATATTATTTTGTCATATATTAGATTTCCTTGATTAATATGTAAGTATTATATTAATACTACTATGACACACATCCATTTATTTCCATTCTAAAAAAAAACACGATTTTTCGAGCAAAAAGCGTGATTTTTCATACATTGTTTCTGTCCTTTTTTGACTATTTTATTTAAAAAAAAAAAGATATTTTAATCAAATTGTTCAAAAAAAAAAAAAAAAAAAGAACAGAAACAATGTTTATGAAAAATCGCACTTTTTGCTCGAAAAATCGCGTGTTTTTGTTGAAATGTCAGAACGCCATCTAGTGGAACAGAAATAAACTAAACGTTGATTTAACCTGTTCCTTGATATTTGGCCAACTCAATTTCTTGGTAAATCGAGTAAAACCAACCACAGATGGCGCAAGCCATCAGAAACTTTCAGTTGCATGATAAGGAGATGCCTTTTTCTTAAATTTTCCACCTTATCCCAGTACAATATCACATTTGTACTATTTTTTCAGAATGCCAATGGTCAGAATATGGATAATTTATTTTTAATATCCACACCTGACTTTTTTTTTTATTATCAAAAAAAAATTTTTTTTTTCACATTTTAAGCATATTTACGCAAGTTTGACTTTAAATACCCATTTCTTGATTTCTCAGGAAGCCTCTGGGACCAAAGATTTTTTGGTCTCAGAAGTACAGCCTGCACCACGCTGAAGAGGCCTAACAGCCCGAAACACGTTCGTTTTCTTGAATCATCAAGAAAATGGGTTGGCCAAATAACAGGGAACAGGCTAAATCAACGTTTAGTTAATTTATGTTCCACTAGATGGCGCTCTGCCATCTGAAAAACGCTCATGTTAGTGGTCAGTATATGCATAATTTATTTATAATATCAACACCTGACCTTTTTTTATTATATATTTGGTAAATTCAGCATGTGTCATCTGTACATAGACATTTCTTTGCAAATATGTAAGGGCACACCACGGAATATAATAAAGAAATCCTGTCAAAAGGAATGAAAAGATCTGAGGTAGTGCAGCCATGTTGGATAAGAACTTCTTCCTTCTCCCCGGAAAATTACTTCCGCTGAGTCAACGCACGTCGTTGTCCTCATAATTTTTGTAACTTTCTTTCCTCGTTACATCAATCGGATCAATTCCCTTTTCTTAGAGCAAATCGCTTATAAAAGCTGGCGTTAGACCGGGAGAAGCAGCTAGTGTCCAGATTCAGTTATCTCCGCCATCCATCTTAGGTCGATTTTCCTCAGCTCCTTTCTTCTCTGCTAGGTAACCCTTACCCTCTTGTCGTCCATTTGGCTGTGCA